CCCCCACATAATCAAATGATGCAGTGCATGGACACCATCTGAATGTCAATGCCTATCAATATTTTTTATGGGGTGGCTAGGAATTGGCTCCTATGGCAGAACCCCATCACCACTAATAGCTTTGGGGCAGTCTTGCCTCTAGTCTTCTGAGCTAGAGGAAAAGCTGAAACCATGCAATTTTTACTCAGAGTACACCCACTGAAATTAGAGGACCTAAGTTTGTCACGTTCATTAATTTTAATAAGTCTACTCTGAGCTGGCACTTGTAGCTAATGAATTATATGACATCATGACCATCTAGACTTTTTGCTATAATTTACATATTAAGACACATATACTCTTTATTTGCATTATGAAGGAAATAATATCAACCTCCCTTACCTGGTGCCTGCAAAAGCAACTGAGACAATGTATGCATGTAAAACATTTTTTACACTGAAAATGTGCTACAAAAATATTTGATCTACGATCCTATCTGCACTTGCTCTGCAGGCTTCCTCCAGAGATACCTTTGGTCTCTTTTCAGGGCAAGTTAATTATTTCAGCCTTGTTTGTCTTCTGCTGGTCTGTGAGAATTATATTTTATCTTGCTGTTTTGATTTTATTTACAAAATTGCCTTTTACTACATATTTTAAATTTAGAACACTACTTGGAGAGGGACTTCAGTCTGAAAAGCAGTTGAGACTTATTAGAACATATCTGCACAGTGCATTGCACATCGTATTGTTATTGTTCTTCTTTGCATATATACTCCTGACTACACTAGTAGCAAACTAGTTTAATTCCCAAATGGCAATGTATTAGGGGCTTTATCTAAAGCAAGAGCATCTGCTCCAGTTTAGATAGTTACAAAAAAGTAATAGTAGCTCAGTGAAAAGCATCTGCTTGCCTGCAGAAGGTCTCTTGTTCAATCGTTGCATCTCCAGGCAGGGCTGATAATGTTCCCTGTCTGAAATCCTGGAGAGTCACCAACAGTCATTGTAGACAATACTGAGCATGATGGATCAATTGTCTAAGGGTATAAAGCAGCTAACTAGGATCCCAAGTATGAAAATGACTATGCTGATGTTGTGCTTGTTTGTCAAAATAACACTATTTACCCTAAGGCTCAATGCCAGTTCTGACACTATCCTTTGCATCTTCAGAATGGGTCAGGAGTAGTTTGGTAGATGCCTTTTAAGTAGAACTGCAGATTTAGAAGAATCATATCTAGTCAAAAGGCCTGCCAGTATGCAGGGAATCCCGTACTAGCTTTGTATATAAGTCCACAAAGACAAGCACACAAACACCCCAGAGCAAGGAGACTCGGGTCTGATAATCTACTCATCCAGGCAAATGGTCAACTCCAAGTCTAACACATCTCCAATAAATTATCATCCAGCTTTTTCTCGGTAAGTTTAAAGCACATCTATATATGGACTCAAGAAACTTAACAACTTTATAGGATAGGCAGTTCTCAGTACCTTCGGATTGCAGCTCTCAGGATTACCTGGGCAAGGCAAAACAAAAACAAAAACACAACCTTATGGGGTAAAAAAGGTTGTTTAAAAGGTATTGCCTCCGTTTAAAGAAAATATAACAAAGAGAGTGCCTTAGCTACGGGGGGACTAGCATGGTTTTTTGCCCCAGGTGAAGCCTCCAGACAGGCACCATTGAGGCTCACTGCCTGTCTGTGTGAATGCAAATGTGCATGGAGGTGCCAAACGGGATCTTTGACCTAGGTGAAAAACAGCCTAGTTTCATCCCTCCTTGAACACCTTGCATTGGTCTATTACTATAGTCACATAAATTAAAACTAGGCATGGCTCTATGAAGTCAGAGATCCAACAACTAGATCTGTCAACCTCTAGCAACTCATATTCACAACCATTTTTCTTCCACTATAGAATGTACAAATGTGCTGAGTGCATGGTCATTTCTAATTATAACCACCAGTATTGGTTGAGTATATTGTTCACTTGCAGCAATAGAATAGGAGAACCTTTCCTTACAGAAAGATTCTGCCATGTAAAATAGGTGTCACAAGTACTGGTAGCAATTACTATAGTATTTGCTTGTGTAAATATACCAGCCAAGTATTAACAACCATACTCCTATCTAAGTAATATTTCATACCTATAAAGCTTGATCATTGACTCACAATCAAAGGAAGGTTTCCTGAAATGAATGTCAGAAATATTTAAGTACCTTGAAAAGTCAGTGAAGACTTAAGAGAAATTAATCTGATCTCCTTAAATTCACTTTATTCCCAGTCCTAAGATCAGCAAAAAAAGAAGAAATGCAACTTCTTGCTTATAAGAAATTACTGTATTTTTCGCCCTGTAGGACGCACTTTTTCCCCTCCAAAAATGAAGGGGAAATGTGTGTGCGTCCTATGGGGTGAATGCAGGCTTTCGCTGAAGCCTGGAGAGCGAGGGGGCGGTGCGCACCAACCCCTCTCACTCTCCAGGCTTCAGGAAGCTATCCGCAAGCCTTGTGAGCCTGGGGAAGTTCCCGCGGGCTCGCAAGGCTTGCGGGCAGCAGCCTGCAGCCCGGAGCACAGGGTGCCCTCCGGAGGACGCCCCGTGCTTCGGGAAGGTGTCCACAAGCCTCCCACACCCGGCGGGAGGTCCCGCCAGGCGCACGAGGCTTGGGGCGGCAGCCTGCATCCCGAAGCACGGGGCGCCCTCCGGAGGACGCCCCGTGCTTCGGGAAGGTGTCCGCCAGCCTCCCGCGCCCGGCGGAGGTCCCGCCAGGCGCGCGAGGCTTGGGGCGGCAGCCTACATCCCGAAGCATGGGGCGCCCTCCGGAGGACGCTCCGTGCTTCGGGAAGGTGTCTGCAAGCCTCCCGCGCCCAGCAGGAGGTCCCGCGGGGCTCGCAAGGCTTGCAGGCAGCAGCCTGTTCTGGGAGCTTGGGTCGGGGGAAGCTCGGGCTTCCTCCGCGCCAGCCGCACGCCTGGGGGGGGGGAATAATTTTTTTTTCTTTATTCCCCCCCCAAAAAAAAACCACTAGGTGCGTCTTATGGGGCGGTACGTCCTATGGGGCACAAAATACGGTACAAATCTTGCCACACAATTCTTTACATGGTTTTCCATCAGTTGTTTTTCATATTCTAATTGTACTGGCTTGTTTCTGTTTTGCCTCTGCTGGTTTAATTTTCCTGCTGGCGTTAAAAAGACAGTGGGTTGGGGGAGAGAAGCTTGACCTCAAATGGTGGAAAAATTAAACTGGGCAAGGACAGAAGGGTCCATTCAAACAAACGAAATCATATTCTTTCCTGCTTACAAGTTTTCCCTCTCATATCTAATTTCAAAAGCCACACTCAGCAACCTGGAAATATGGAGGTATGTTTATATTATCCAGTGAGATGAAATATGTTGCTAAAGACCAGCAGCCCATCCTTATTAGCTTCCAAAAAATAAAATATTAGGTATAGGTTAAGAACTAAGGATGAGGAACCCGTATCACCCCAGGTGTTGTCAGAATAAAACTCCCATTATTCCTGATCACTGGCCATGCTAGTGGACCGTTCCCCATACATGAACTAAGGGATGGAATTAGCCCTAGTGAGCAGCTTCAGAACATCATTTATAATATATTACAATTTGAAGCGAAGTACCCACTAAACAGTTGAACATGCCCAGTGGCAATATCAGGGGTCCTCAAAATGTCATAGGTAGACAGTGGTCAATGAGATTCATTCAGCTAGTCCACAATATGGCCACATTAAATATGCATATTTTATTGCTTCCTTTTTCCTTATATTTTATTGTATTACAACATGAATTCTATGGAACGTAAATTATAATAAAAGAATACAATCTATAAGAAACAAAAAAGCAATAAAAATAACAACATCATACAGCATCTAGCATAGTGCATTAGTACAAGGCTAAAAGGTAAAGGAGCAAAATTTTCAGAACTACTTGTATTCTGCAAAAAAAACATAAACCTATGGAATCAAGGTGGACAGAAAATACATCAGTAGGGTTTAGATCAGAGGTGTAACAATAGTCTTCCTTTCCTCAGGCGCCTCTAAATTAAACAGGAGTACCAGACATAAGAGATAGGAGTTTATAATTCAAAAAAGTAGTGAGCAATTACACTAACTGCTACAGTACCAGCAGAAGCAACCATACAATGTTGACTTTAACATCATATTCCATATAATGATCGTCACACACAGCAACTGGCATACTCCAGCATTTGATGACATAGCCCATTTTAGAATCAAAACCAGAAATGTATTCTAAAAATATGTAATATTTTATACTCAGTAAATCAGTTCGCACTAATACACTTCTCACAACTCATAACTTGATGTGCCACATTATCATCTCACCAGCACAAATTGTTAAAACGAAATGAATCCAAGGATTGCTAAAGGATTGCCTTCCAAGAAACTTTCAGCCCTTCTCCCTATTTACATTCCCCTTTTGATCAGCAAGAATTATCATTCCTTTATTTCTCAAGCAAATATGAATGTTTCCCATGTTTAAAGCAATGTACTTCCATACTGATCTTCACCATTCATAAGCAAAACTTAACACATAATGACTCACTCTATAATTTGTTTACATTCTACATTTTGATCTAAAGTGTAAATTAAATATCTATCAGCAAATGCTCTGTTTCCACATAATATGGCTATGCAGTGAGAGTGTAGTATTTTTCTTTCGAATGCTGCAAAAAAAAAAAACCCCTTCTGTTCAGTTCCTATCTTTAAAGCTGCAACCAATCAGCAGGCAACTCTCATTTGCAAACACGGAACTCCAGCTTGGTAGGTGCAGAATCATTGGCCTGAGCTTTGTACGTGCCCTCAGATAACCCTCCCCGTTCCCCAATTCACACAAAAAATAAACCAGGAACCCCTTCCCAAGTGACTAATATTAACATTACTTTTCCTTTCTCCCTCGGCTGGAGTAGAAAAGAAGGAGAAAGGCAATAACTCTGCCATATCTTCCATAGCTGAAGCAACCCCGACCCCACCTGCAAGTTTAAAAGCCAGCCTTCACTCACCAAATCCTCAAAACTTCTTCGATGCTCTTTGCCTTGCCAATCCAGGCGCCTTGGGATCAACTGAGTGGGGCGGGGGAGGAGGTGCAAGGAAGAGATACAGGTCTTGCAATTAAAAGTGCGTTCGAAATGGAGAAAACAAATGATTCCCTTATCTCCCAACAACTCCCCCACTGATTCTTACAGCTGCATGCCATGTCACTTACACTCAGCAGATGGGTGTAAAGAAAAAAACTTCTGAAGATAAAGGAAAATAGGTTTACATGTAAAAGCTGTCCTACTTAGTGTGGGAGAGAGCCCTTTACATTTCGTGCAGCTTCTCCTTTGTTGGCCTGGAACAGTTCTTCAGAAAAGAAAGCCTATCTGGCCGTTCCACAAAGCCTCTACTAGCTCCTTGACCAAAATATACCCACTCTCTCACTCATTTGCCACCCCAGGGTATCCCACAAGCAAGCACTACAGGGGGAAATAATGCTCCTTTCCTGAGCAGATAAAAACTGCATGTACTGTGTTGTCACATTTGGGGTGGGGTGGGGGAAGGGTGGAGGAAGAAACCAGGACTGATAGTAGCAACACCTCCCTCTTTCTTTCTTTATCTTTTTAAGAGCCAAATGAAAGGTCACCAAAAGCAAGCACGGTTTCTTTAAATTGAGACAGCTGCTCCGTGAATAAATATAATTTAAAAACAAAATAAGAGGGGGTGGAGACGGAGGCTTCGTTGCAAAGGTGTGCAATTAATACCTATCCCAACAAGTTCTTCACGGATAGCAAGATTTGTGGGAAGGGGTTACGAACCAGGAGGGCATTTGCACAGCTACTGAAGCGAGGATTGGGGTCAAGGGCTGAAGAGGAGGCATATATTAATTCGGCATTAATCAATCCCTCACACACAGCCAAAAAAAAAAAAAACCCCACTCAGACCACATGCTGGGACATTACCTGGTGTTCTTCCAGCTCCTCCACCAGCACCTGAGGAAAAAGACATACAGATACACACACAAAGAGCGTGAGGGGAGGCAATAGAGGTCCCTTCCCCACAACCCCCTGACTTAAAAAAAAAACAACCCAGCTCCATTCTAGAACAAGACCGCCGCCGCCCCCCGACCGACCACCACCACCACGCTAGGTTTTGCCCACAAACCCTTCACACCTGGGCAGATTGCTTGCACGGTCCGGACTGGAGAAAGCGGGCAATTAGGTAGTACAGCTCTGAGGAGAAGAAGAAGAAGAAGAAGCCAGGTTAAAGCAGGGCGAGGGAAGCCCAAGGAGGCAGCCTCCGCCTCAGCCCCCGCGGCACCCGAGACTCACCGGCTTCCAGCTGAGTCGAGGCGGCCGCCGCCATCCCTCCTCTTTCCTCAGAAGAAGGCCCGTCAGGAAGGAGCACCGGGGCAGAAGGGAAAGGCGCCGGGGGCGCCGCCGTCGCTGGCGCTGTTGGGGATGGTCCCTGTCCCAGGAAAGGGCGGGCGAGCTGCCTGCCTGAGGAGCGGCTCCTGTTACGACCGCCCGGAACAGCCCCAGCGGCAGGGTATATATGCTGCCGCTGCCGCTGCCGCACGCCGCCTCATTAGCGCCTCGCCGGCTCCATATAGCCCCCGCCGCGGAGGAGGGACCGAGCCCGTGCCGGCCCTCAGACTGGCTGCTCGCCTGAAGGGGAATGGAGGAGGACGGAGAGAGGGGAGAGACAGCGGCGGCTCCGTAATTACGGGGTGAGGGGGGGGATAGAGAGAGAAGGGAAGCAGGCAGGAAGGCTGTTCAGTAGCCGAGGGAGCCTCCGGCCGCATGGGGGCGGTGGAACGGGCTGGCCTGTGGGAGGCGGCCGAGGCGGCGGTCGGAAGAGGCAGGGAAGGCGGAAAAGGGGAAAGGGCCTTGGGCCTAGCGGAGCCTGAGGCCTGCGCACCCCAGGGCCTTGGGCTGCCCCCCGATTCCGCCCCTCGGCTTCTGCGGCTTGATCTTTGCCCCAGATTGGGAAGAGGTGGCCATGGTCGTCGGCTGTCAGTTTCAGAAATGTCGGCTGCTCGCTTGCTGCGTTTAATTTGTTGATTTTATCCATATGCAAAATAAAATAAAAGATTATTATTTAAAACCCCATCCATTGTTGTTGTTGCTTTCAGGAGTGCAGGGATGCGTTTCCGAGCTCCCGATCTTCCTGCCCGACAATTATCCTCACGCATCAGCCTCTTGAGGTAGGTTAGGCTGAAATAAAACCTCCCTAGCCCAGTGAGCGTAGTGGTGGAATGGGGGATTTGAACTTGGACCCCCCCCCAAAAAAAAATCGGTCTTGGCAGGGCATGTATGGAAATGTGACGATCACTTGTCAGAGCTGTCAACATTTCGTGCAAGGGAGTTCAAAAAGCACACATTATTATTACCTTTACACACTAGGTGTAAAGGTAAAAGGACCCATGGATGGTTCAGTCCAGTCAAAGGTGACGGGTTGCAGTGATCATCTCGCTTTCAGGCTGAGGGAGCTGCCATTTGTCCACAAACAGCTTTCTGGGTCTTGTGGCCAGCATGACTAAACCGCTTCTGGGACAACAGAACACCATGACAGAAACCAGAGCGCACGGAAACACTTTACCTTCCCGCTACAGTGGTACCTATCTACTTGCATTGGCATGCTTTCAAACTGCTAGTGGCAGGAGCTGGGACAGAGCAATGGGAGCTCACCCCGTCGCGGGGATTCGAACTGCCAGCGTGCCAGCCAGCAAGCCCAGGAGGCTCAGTGGTTTAGACCACAGTGCCAACACACTACAGTCATACCTCGGGTTACAGACCCTTCAGGTTGTGTTTTTTCAGGTTACGGACACACCGAAACCCGGATGTACCGGAACGGGTTACTTCTGGGTTTTGGCGGTCGCGCATGCGGAGAAGCACTGAATCGCAACCCGCACATGCGCAGACGCAGTGCTGCAGGTTGCGAACGTGCCTCCCGCACGGATCACGTTCGCAGCCCGAGCATCCACTGTATGTTGTTGGCATCCACCTATCTTTAGAGACAGTGGGAGTGAAATCAAACTGTTGTGTTAGTTGCAGTGAAGCAACCTTTTCAGGGCGCAAGCCTGGGCAGTGTGTGTGGAAGTCCTGAGCTGCCCAGATGACAAGACGCACACCCTCAGCCTCGCTAATGTGGTTCAAAGGAAAGACCGGTATGTTTGGCACCAGTTTGGCTGCAGGAGCCTTAAGGAACTCCACACATGTGTAGGGCTTACTCCTTAGCCTTTTCTCCCAAAGATGTCCCACGAGGCAGCAGAGGTTTTGGACCAGAATTTTCCTTCTCCAAGATGCATGGGCGTAGCCAGGATTTTTGTTACGGGGGCATAACCTCAGATTTGTAATGATTTGATTTATTGATTTGGGGAGCAGCTCCCCGCCCCCCCCCTGCTATGCCCATGCCTAGATGGGCTACCTTCCCAGGTTGACAGGCCCCATCCGTCACTCACTTGCCACTACAGCACATGTAGAAACCACCTTGTTGACAGTCCACTCAATCCACCAGAGCCTGTCTTCACATGCAGGGGAAGTCCCTAACCAAGGGTTTGAGAGCTATTGGCTACCCTCACCTGCCTTAGCCAGCCAGTCAAAGCAGTTTCATGGGGTGTAGTTACTGTTGCATGCTGACAGAATCTAGGAGCCATAGGTGAAAGCTGAGTACACATTGGGGACCAAAGGTGGGCAAACTACCCAAGAAGGAACACAATGTGTCCCCCATCAGAGGTACCAACCCACCCCATACACCCCCTTTTTCACTATAGGCATTGCATTATTGAGATATGAGTGGGCTTTATTTTGGGAAATGCTGGTTCCTGTGTGTGCATTGGGTTCGTATGCGTGTCTGCTGATGCACAAATAAATGATATGACTAACATTGGGTAGGCAGTTAGACCCCTCGCTTAAGAAATGTTCTAATTTCAAGCAGAAGGGTGGTTTTGTTGCGTTTTGAGGGCTCTGTTATAAATATTCAGAGAACACGGCTGTTTCTTCATGGCAAAAATTCTGAAGCGGGGTTTCTTAGCTTTCCATTTCCAGAAACATTTTGAGTGTAGTAGTTGCTATTATATTAGCAAAACGAGGATTGGAGGTGCTGCCTTGATCAAAGTATAGTCCTGCAAATTGGGGGGGGGCGTGGGCATAGCAGGGATTTTTGTTAGAGGGGCAGGCTTTTGTTGGGGAGCAGAACCTCAAATTTGTATTGATTTTTATTGATATTGATTGATTTGTGGGGCAGCTGCCCCTTCTTGGTTATGCCCATGGGGTGGGGTGTTAGTCTGAATACCTGGGCACTCCTAATTCCTGGATCAGCCAGGCCAGCCTGATAATCACCTGGGAGATCAGCCAGTAATAAAGACAAGGGGAAGATAATGGGCCATTAAGAAAAACAAATGGGAGGGGTCCATCCCTCAACCCAGAGTTCATTTGGAAGACAAAAGAGAATTTTGAAGGAGAGTTTTAAGCATTGCGCCTGGAATTTTTGCATGATGTGAGCTGAGTAGGGGGGTTGGGCTGAGAGGTAAAGTGGGAGTCTGTAAAACACAACAAGTTGGAAAAGGAGAGTCAGAGCCATGGCTGAGGTCAGTTTGAAGCCAAGGTTGCAGCTATGGGAGAAGCAGGACCTTCTTATTTGTTCTTTGCTTCTAATTTTCACCACCCATTCCTTTATTTTGAATATTTTCTTCTTTCGCTTCTTTTTAACTTTCCTTCTTTAAATTTGAAAACTTCCAGCAAATTTCCAGCAAAAATATGACAGTTGTTCTGATTCGTGTCAAATGTGGCAGCATCCACTTTGCTCCTCAGGGTGCCACCCCATTTTTTTTGTTGGAGGGTATGGAGTTATCAAAATTTGTTGGAGGGTATGGAGTTATCAAATTTTCTAATGTTAAAAAAAGCTGTGCACGGCTTGTAATGGTGGGTGGCTCTTTGTACAGCTGGTAGCCAGCAACTCTTTCTACCGCTGGCTACATACCCTGAGAATATCCCAAAAGGGAAGCAGCAACACACACCCCTCCCACTGTTGAAAGGTAGACACTGCTTCTCTGCCTGGTGGCACATCAAAATATGCACCATCCCATCAAGTTAACAGCTGAATATTTTTCATTTGCAAAGTAACAACAAAGCTGATTTGTGGTGAATGTGGAATAGTAGGAAAGGAGGTATCAAGAAATACCAAAAGGAGAAGGAAGTGGGTTTAGAAAGAAGGAAGTTAAAGTAAGGGAGTATTCATTCAAAGGATTACATATATTTTTTTATACCCTCCAAGGGTCCCTGTTTTCCAGGGAGGTCCCTGATTTAGAGAAGCTTTCCTAGTTTCTGATTTGATCCTGGAATGTCCCGCTTCTCCTTAGGATGTCTGTACTGTATTATCATTGGAGAAATGTTGGAGGGTATGATAGATGACCCTCTTTTCAAGAGAGAAATGTTGGAGGGTATGGAGTTATCCAACCCCGAGCTGCCTGAAGGCAATCTTGTATAGTTTTTTTTTAATGTTTGATGTTTTATTATGTTTTTAAATGTGTTGGAAACTGCCCAGAGTGATGGGGCAATCCAATAAGTTATGTGGGGTATACATAGTAGAAATATTATGGAACGGGGCGTCCTTATTTTCATCAGAGAAATGTTGGAAGGCATGTTATGACTATTATTTCTCCCTTTTTCATGCTTCATACACTAACAAATTAGCTAGTATCTGTTATTATGTTGGTTTTTCATTATATTTCCAGTTTACCTATAGCATTGTTCTGATTATTAAGGTTTCATGTAAAATCCCCCCCCCCTAAATCTTGGGACCAATAATACAGAAATGCTGTGAAGCAGTTGTTTCTGAAGAAGACGCTAATAGCAAATTGCTTATTCTAAGACATTCAGTAATTTCAAAATATCAGCCATATCCCCAGGAGCTAGGTTTGATGCTCTAGCTCAGGCATGCCCAACAGGTAGAGAGTGATCTACCGGTAGATCACTGGACGTCTGCGGTAGATCACCGGCTCCCCCCAAAGAAGCTGAACAACTGTGGCTCCCGTAAAAAAAGCTCTGACCTGAACCCAAAAAAGGGGGTAAATCACTGCTAGTTTTTAACTGAGTAGATCACAGTCTCTTGGGAGTTGGCTACCCCTGCTCTAGCTGTACAAGTTGTGCATTTTATACTCAATAGGTTGCATGGCATCCTTTTTTTAATTGATACCTACTCTACAGACCGCCCCCAGCCCCCCTGACAGCCCTGTTTTGTGTGGCAGCCCCTCTTTTTGTACAAGTGCCCCGGGGTTCGGGCGTTCTGGTTTTTTTTTTCCGGCTGCGGCAGCTGCATTGGAAAGGAGACGTGGGAGCTCCTTCCGAAAGCCGAGTTAGTGGTTCCTAAGCTTTGTGATGAAGACGGGTGGGACTCTAGGACCCTGCTGCCTGAAGCCAGGCAAGTCCATCCTATCTCAGCTTACGCTTCCATAGAAGGATCATCGGGATCTTTGCCATCCCTTCCCTTTCTGGCTTGGAAAGGCACCCTCGCCATAGGAAATCTCCAGGAAGCGGCATCCTCAGTGACTTCTTTCCTCTACGACCCCTCCAACGGTGCCGCTTCTTTCTTTTTCCTTGACTCCGTCGGGGATTCTTACTGTGTCTCCTCCATCACCATCACCGGTTCCCAAGAGCGCTTGTCTTTCGCGCGCGCGCGCGCGCACACACACACACACACACACACACAGGCTTAAGCAAATTGATGTTTATTTTATTTTATTTTATTGTTATTTCTCCACCACCATCATATCGCTCAATGTAAAGGACTTGCGGCTTGTTCTTTGTTTTCCGCTCCAGAAACTAAAAGGGGATGGGGGAGGGGAGACCAAAATCCTCTTGCAAATCCAGCCCTCCAAAAATAATCCCCCCATTTGGCTACCTGAGCCAATCATGGATGGAGCAAGGGTGGATGTGCTTGCCAATTGATTTTTGGGGTGCTTTAGTTCAGTGCCTGCTGTTGGGGGGAGGTGTGCGGACAATTTGCAGTTATTTTTTGTTTTTCTGCCTGCCTGCCTGTTGAAGCCCATCCCCAGTCATATTTGCAAATTTACTTTGAAGTAAGTAACCTTAACTGGAGTTAAGGTTTCGCTCCCACGCAAATGTGCAGGACTGGGCTTCAGGGCTGCATTCCGAATCTTTTGCATGCTCACATGAGAGTAAACCATTGATCTCAAGAGTAAAA